GGGGGGGGGGTGTTTAGTCCAACCACTACCTGTCCTTCCAAGCCTTTTTCCCTCTTCCTTGCTATAAGAATAGTCTACATGTTTTCTATGTTTCAAATCATGCAGTCTTTCTTGATAGAACAGATCTTTCCCTTATCAACAGCCAATAAGTTGGGTTAGTTCCATTCTTTAGTTGGAGTTTGAATCATGATCAATATCTCAATTAAGTTCATGAAAGTAGATATCCTTTTGTAGTCATCTAAATAAAGTGTACTAACTAAAGAGGAAGTTATATTAGGTGTTTACTTAGAGGATGTATAACATAAATAAAGTGCTTTTCTATAAGGCACTTCCTGGAGAGAAGTGTGGGGAGATGTTAAAATTAATTTGATTCTGTATATGAATGCATTTTCCATCACATCATTATATAATATAGTATTTTCATTTTTTTTATTTACTTAAATGTTATTTTTATGTTAATAAGTTTGCTCTGTGGTTGAGAATATTAGACCCCATGCATTTTTATATCTAGTGTACTCATTTTCAGATTAAAGTATAATAACTTCTCCTTTTCAGGCGCAATTGCATTTCTTAGAAGTATATCACTTGAGGCTGTTGGGCTTGGTTTGAATTTGGCAACAGGGGCTCATAACATTTTGCTCCAAGCAGAATATTTATTTTCAAGCAGTACGCCTGAGTCATTGTATTTGGAAAGCAAGATGGATACAAATTTGAGATATAATCAACCAAAGGATGCCCAACAAGGAATTCAACAGGTAAGTGCTATTGTAGGCTTTTTCTTTGAATTTGTTCAGGTCTTATTGTTTTATCCATTTAAATAGAGACTATGCTTCTAGAATAAGAAAATATGTCCACTCCACTTTTTGCTATGCATTCTTTTAAGCCTTTGAGAAGTAGTGGATCCCTTGTCTAAAGAAAGGAAATAATCAAAAGAAAAGTAGCAGATCCTCCAGCAGGAAATTCAAGCAACTTGATGGCCTTTAAAAGTTATACTGTTAACTGCAGTTTCTTTCCTTTCAGTCCTAAGTTGCTAAATGTGAAGATTTTCATGCGCATATGTATGTGTGTGGGATCTCTGGTCAGGTTGCTCCATGGTAAACATCATTTTATTGTCTGTCAAATGCTAGGCTCTATACAAAGAGGAAAATGCCAAAATGCTCTGATTTTAAATTTGATTTGCTCTTTCAAGTTTGTTAGTCAAATTTTGGGGATGTGCTTCTTTGTTCTCATGGTAAAAGTTGGGAGCTGGGCAATCATATTTAGTCTAAATTTTACCTTGAACAATAGAAAAGGAAGATGGAGCACTTTTTAATTATATGGCAATGAGAATCTGCATATTTCTGAATAATTTCTGTTTGTAAAGAGAGGACTGACATTTTAAAATTTGTCAGGCTTATGAGAGTATCAGTGGTGGCCTTGAGAAATCTGCATCTGCTTTGGTTGGGACACCCTTGAAAAATTACCAGCGAGGGGCCAGTGCTGGAGCTGCATTGGCAACTGCAGTTCGGGCAGTTCCTACAGCTGCTATAGGTCCAGCTTCTGCTTGTGCAAGTGCCATACGATATACTTTTCTTGGCCTGAGAAACAGGTATCTCATTAGTTTCTGATTTACAGTTATGACATGAGGCTGTTCCCTCCCAGTCTTCATTTATTTTTTATTAGTTTTTACCTATTAAAAGTTAATGTTTTTAAAATTTTTCTGAAGTAGCTTCTTGCAAGAAAATTTTTTTACTGCATATGGTTTTAACTCACGTTGTATTGATGTTCTCTTCAGTTTCACTTGTTTTGACAGAAAATTGACTAGGATGGTTTTGTTTGCAGCCTTGATCCTGAACGAAAGAAAGAATCAATGGAGAAATATTTGGGTCCAACACAGCCGCAGGATCAAAAGTAGCCAACGTTATCTGTTATGATAGTACTTACCCACATTTGCTTTTGCTCTACAATAGAAATTCATCCATGGCTTATTAAGAGCACTTGGCATGGACTTCAAGTTGAATTATTGAGGCCATCGTCATGGAGCTTGATTTGGCAAAAACTGCAGGCAGCCCCATATTTCACGTAAGTTAAACCTTCTATACAGTTCACACCTGCGATCAAATACATTGTAAGCAGGTTGTCTAGTCTTGGGAAATAACTGTTTTACTGTTTGAGTAAACATCTTATTGCAAACATGGTTTGCCAAAGATGTTAAATTTTACTAGTCAAATTACTCTACTCCACCAAAAAGTACCTTGTTTTTAATATATAGTAGTAGAAAAAACCCTTGTTAATTGTCTTACTAGAATCAGTTTCACAGAATATACCCATTGGTGCTAAATGCATCCTCTTGCTGCAGGTGTATAGTTAAGCAAGCAATCAAAAACTGATTCTTTCCAGTCGGAACAAAATGAGACTGGAATTTTGTACAAAATGTAAATATGGAATGTGATTGGGGCCATCTTCAGACTTCATCCTCACAGATGAGTTGTTGTAATTATAGTAACCTGATTGAGATAGTGAGCTGTATGGTGTCGTTTTTCTTTTTGAAGTATATCTTCCATTGTATATAATCTTCTGCGTGTTGTACATAACTCATTGTCATATTATTTTAAGCAAGAAAAACAAAACGAAAAAACAAAATTTCTCAATTAAAGTCTTATCTTTGATTGTTTTCCTCTGTCCCGATGTCTTCTGCTGGGTGCCTCAAACTGAAGAGCCCGAATGGCCTCAGTCTAGCTTTTGTTGAGGGTTTTTTCCTTTTTCCTTTTTTTTTTTTTTTTTTTAACATGGAGAATTATAGAGGAATAGAGGAATTTTTAAGTCGATTCTTCTAGCCATCTTTGTTGAGGTGGTGTTTGAATAGAATTTTTATGTTAAGTGTCAATTTGAATAGACTCAATAGAGTGCTTTGAAGAAGTGTTATAAATTTACAAAAAAAATAATCATCAAAAAAATTTTATGAAAAATGTGTTTTCAGTCTAAAATGTTAAAATATCATATTATGAATTTTTACATGACATGATCTAATTAGATTTAAGTAATTTTAGTTTAAATTATATTAAATCGTAAATCCTTTGGACATAAGACCTTGACTTATGGTAGTGGCTTGGGTCGGGTTTTTGCCAAGTCTAGCTTATACATATTACCTTAATCTAGTTACATATTATTATAATTTAGTTGAAATAAAATATTCTCAAACTCATATTTTTATAATAAAAAGTGTTGTATATTATACAATTTAAACTTTTAAATGGAGATAGATCTTTTAATATTAAGATTATCCCTTATCTAATCATTTTTGTTTTATAATTGGATAGAAAACTCTTCTTATAAATGGAACTAATTACCAAAAAAAGTTTATACATAGATCTAGCCATTTAGCACTAAAATAACCCTTTTTTGCTGAGTTGCTAGTATATTGAGTTAATTTGCCCAAATTAGTCTAGACTAGTGCATCACTCTAGTTCATCCTTACAAACTCAATAGATTTATAACTAAAGTTTTTTTCAAAAATCTTTCTCTTACCTGTCTTGAAAGATTCGGTGTGTTGTGCAAATTGGGTTGGTCCGTTTCTGTGATCCAATTTATATTTTTTTCTCAAGTCCCCCTTTATATATTTTTAGATTCGTATTTAAAATCTTTGTTTTAAATATATAATAAAAATTTTTAATTTAAAATTTTAAAGTATAAGTGTATGTGTAATAATAAAAGTTTACTTCAATTATTCTCTTTAAAAATAAAATAAAAACATATCTTTAATTAATTAAAATCTCATTAAAGTTCTATTTAAGAAGAGAGCTGTATTGCATTGTACAAAGCAACTCTCCTTTGTTTGTTTGTTTTTTTCTTTTTTTTTTTTGTCCTTTCCAAAGTCCATTTTAAACGTGGGAATTTGCACCTTTTGACAGTAAGTCAGTCGGTGGAAATTTCAATTGTCCAACCATGATTTCATTTTCATCCAACAGTTGGCATTAGTTTTTTTTTTTAAATATGTTAAATAAAATGATATTAATATGATTTTTTAAAAAATTTTTATTTAAATATTATATGTATTGTAAATTAAGTGTTTTATTAAATATTTAAAATATAAATTTATA